TTTCCAATGGTTAATTACACTTATAAAGCATCAAATCATACACAACATTAAGTAGCTCAGTCTTTTAACTTTGTTACAAAATCGCAGGCACAAGAGACTTGGACCAGTTAGTAAGCTAAATGAATATATACAATTACGAATATGAATACCAAAAATAAAAGCTGATTTTGTGAAATACATCGTATTAGCAGAAATTTAATGGGATGTAAAAAAGATTAATTATTATTAGACTTCGCTCTATACTGAAAATCAGATGGCCAGAAAGAATCACCAACAAGAAACTATGGGAACAAACAAAACAAGAACCAATCGCTCAACAAATATGCAGGAGAAATTGGAGATGGATTGGACACTCGCTGAGGAGGCCGCTGGGTGACATCGTGCGTCAGGCCAACGCTCGAGTGGAACCCGAAAGGGAAGCGACGAGTGGGACATCCAAGGGTGACATGGAGGAGATCGTGTGAAGAGGAATTGAAACAGTATGGATTAACATGGACGCAAGTGAAAAGTACAGCAGAACACAGCAGCAAGTGGAGACGTGTAGCTGAAGCTCTATGTCCCACTAGGAACCCAAGGGAACAATAATAATAATAATCGAATTAAAAGTATGCAACAGAGTCAACTGATGAAGCAGTAAGAAGATTTAAACAGTAATATTGGGATACGAAAACAATCAGAATTGAGATCAACACTTTCAAAATCACAGTAATAATCACAAGCATAAATTATCAGTGTGGGAACTCGGTGAATGAATCTTAAGATGACATGAGATGGGGGAGGAGTTAACTTCGTCCACTATTTGACGGATGATGACTAGCTGTGGTAACCAGGATAAGCATTTTATTTTATTTAAGTTTCGGCAACTGAGGGTACCTGCAATCTTTAGTGACTGGTGGTGTTCCCAATGAGACTCGAACTTAGAACTCATTGTTTCAAACGCTAAAGTGTTATCCATGACATAACTAGATCTACTTAGATTAATCAATGAGAAAAAACATATTTGACTTAAACAAACAAAGGCATCTGTCATATTGAACACTACCCCCGCCCCACATAAAAGGATCAATCCAGCTTCACAACAACAAATAGTATGCTGTTGAGTGCATAGTATCACTCATTGATTAAATTTAGTTGATAGCCAATCTCTTCCACATGTTGAGTTTTTGGAATTTATTATATCCAGCTGTCTGCAATTAATAGTGTTCTCTGAGCTGGTTGGTTTAGTTGCGGAGCTTTCGTCGTCCCCCTGCTGGACAACATCTTCAGCGCCATATTTAGCACAAAGTGAAATGATTTAAATTTCTTCATGAGTGATATAATTGCGTCTCCTGGTAACCATCTTTACATATTTATTATTATTATGTTACCAGGAGACGCAATTATATCACTCATGAAGAAATTCAAATCATTTCACTTTGTGCTAAATATGGCGCTGAAGATGTTGTCCAGCAGGGGGACGACGAAAGCTCCGCAACTAAACCAACCAGCTCAGAGAACACTATTAATTGCAAATCATCCACCTGAGCTACAAATCTTCTCTATTATATCCAGCTGTATTTTGGGTTTCACACATGCTTCCTAATGAACATTCCCGCGTAACTATAATCTGAAAGAGTCCCCTAACACTTCCCTATTGTTTATCAATGAACTGTGAATATTTAAAACTCTGAAATCTGTTAATCCTAATTCATCCCATTAAGTTTTCCAACGAATAACCAAAACATATCGATGGTTTCAATGACGGAATGCTATAACCAAAAAGGGCCGCTTTAGTATGAAATTTCAGACAGCAAATACATAAGGTTAGACATATGGCAATATAAATCAAAACTGAATTCAATCGTAATGATATATATACCCAAGATAGGCTAAATTAGAATTAGATTAGACAAAAAATGGGGTTAATGATGGTGAGAATGCGAAAAAAAATGGCATCAGTCGATGAAATCAATAATTCAGTGTAAGCTAGCAAACTAGCTGGAATCATAGGGACATAAAGAATTTATAATCGTTGAAATAACTCGTGGTAAAAATCAATAATAGACAGAAGTTAGAATTCGTGGGCCAGTCAGTGGCTGAATGACCAGCGAGTCTGCCCCCTTGTAACCTATGGGAGGTGGGTTCGATCCCTAGCACTGAGGTCACCAGTGAGTAGTAGTACTGCCGCTGAAGAGTCCAAAACTGGGAACAAAAAACCCACTCTATTCAGTATTCTTCCCTGGTTTTCAACGGCCCTAACCAAAACTTGAAACCAATCAGATCCTTACGAAATTAACACTTGAAAATAACTCAAAGTAGTTTATAATAGTCCAGATGTATCCATATTTTTTGTCATGAAAATTCTGAACATCTTCACCATCCCATCACTTCACAACACACCATTATCCAACTTCAGAAGTTTTAAATTACTATTTTAATCTATTCTAAATACTTTCTCTGTGTGAAATCGCAAACTGATGGATGTCTGTAGAAAGTCTTACACTGTTGGTATTAGATGGTTGGAGGCAATCAGCAGGAAGCCTTGCTCGACCTAGGTTTCGTGCTAGTTGGCACCCATCAGTCAGCAAGGTGTATCTGCAACCTTGAAGGAACTCATGTCCCTCCATCTGAGATTCGAACCCACGTCACAAAGGTACTGCAGCCAGTCAAGCTTGACGGATAGAATTCAGTCTGCACCAAAGATAGGACTAGACACATTAGACACTAGTTACTGGCTAGTGTTCAATCAAAAATAGTCTTACATTGTTCCAACAACTGGTCAAATTCCAGAATCCCTCTGAAGCCTTGATTCCACCACCCTTTGTTGGATTTCGAAGAGGCGTTTAGTTGTTAAACCAACTGACTATTACATGCAATGCCTATGGTGTTATTTGCAGTCAATGAGTTGAAAATAAAAATAAACTGTAGCACACAAAAATGCTCATATGCACACACACACACACAAAAACAGTATCATCATGCCAAATATTTTTATTTCACCACTCAATGTAATGCATAAACTAAGCAACAACAAAAAACAACAGTTTTTCGACTGCATGCATCGTCTGCTTTGTTAAATACACACATATACACATAAAATGTGCAAATACTACATGATATGAGAAGCGAAATGCATTCCATTACTATTATTATTATTATTTAGATGGGTGGAAAAACTATGTGCGAATTTCATATTGTCTGAACAAAAAAAGTAAAACGTTTTTATTTCTTTTGCAAGCTAACACAAAGCTACTTGAGTAATCACGATAGAAAATAAAAAGTCAATCAACACAACAATAGAGTTATTCTATTCGTCACATATTACAATTATGAAACTAGTAAACTGCCTTATTCATCAAATAATATTCAACTACGAGTAAAAACATACAGGACAGACAAGGCTGCCTATTATCACCGATGATATTCTTTATTGTAGTGGACTGACTGGATTATGCGTCGGGCTGTGCACAGGGATCGAGGAGACAGGAATACGCTGAAACACCGATAAGAAGATTCTAGAAGGTCTGGATTTCACAGATGATATATGTCTAATGTCACACAAACTAGAAGACTTAGAGGCAGGCGAAAACCGACAAACTGGTTGAAGAAGCTGGCAGTGAAGACAGTACTGCAAGTGAACATAGAGAAGACGGAGGTGATGAAGGCAACCAACTAACCAACAACAACAACAACAGCAGCAACATCCAGCGCCAATCACCATCAACGCGAGGGATTTGAAAGAGGTTACTTCATTCACTTATCTAGGGAGCATTGTCTCAACTACAGGAGACAGGAACGGACGAGGATGTCAAATCGAGAATCGGGAAGGCGAGAAACACATTCATCAACCTGAAACCAATCTGGAAATCCTCATCACTCCGCCTGCAACAATAACAAAATTCGGATTTTCAATATAAACGTCAAGTCAGTTAGTTCTTCTAAACGGATCAGAAACTTGGCGGGTCACAAGGAATATTTCCAACAGCCTGTTGCAGACCTTCATCAACAACTGTCTTCGCTGGTTCTATACTGAAGATCAGATGGCCGGAAACAATCACCAACAAGAAACTATGGGAACAAACAAAACAAGAAGCGATCGGCCAACAAATATGCAGGAGAAAGTGGAGATGGATTGGACACTCGGTGAGGAGGCCGCTGGGTGACATCGCGTGTCAGGCCATAGCTCGAGTGGAACCCGAGAGGGAAGCGGTGAGTGGGACGTCCAAGGGTGACATGGAGGAGATCTATGAAGAGGAACTGAAACAGTATGGACTAACATGGACGCAGGTGAAAAGTACAGCAGAAGACAGAAGCAAGTGGAGACGTGTAGTTGAAGCCCTATGTTCCACTAGGAACGCAAGGGAACAATAATAATAATAATGAAGTAGAGCAGTATTAGATCACTTTTTCAAGATGAAGACAAGACGGGCGAAATAGGCTTATATGATCTTAGAAAAAGACTCACTAAACAAATCTACACAGGCACTTTTTCCTCTTCATGTATACCCACGTAATCTGATCTCGCTATTAAAACACTGTTAAAGCCTTTTGTGGTATAAGTTAATGACGCGTGTTAAAATTGCAAACAGGGTTACTTAGAAAATTAAATTTATTAATTTTCACTAATTAAGGTAGGTGCTAGTGGTGGTGTAGAGGCAGGCATTGAGCACACTTATAAACATTAAACAACTCATTGTTAGTGAGCAGAGACTACTTTAGTGAGAGAAGGATTTTCGCAGTTAATTATGTGCATTCAAATGTTTAAGTAATGGTGAATTCGGAAAACACAACACTAACATGTAACCTAAGAAGTTTAGTCGTATATCTTACAGTGATTGCTGCGTTTCTTTTTCTCCTCTAGATTCATTTTCTTCTATCTATACTGACTGGAATTGTAACAATGCCAACAGACAAAAATGTTATCTCAAGGAATAACAATAATAACTGCCAATCTCTTAACTCTTCTCACATAACATTCTAAATAATCTGCATGTATGTAAATGACAAAAGTAAAAACTTACGCATCAGATAATCTGAGAAATAATAAAACAATAAAAGAGATAAAACCCAAAAGTATAAAAGTTGAGCACAATTCATTCGACCAGAAACAGACAACAATAGTATATAAATTTTCAAGAGTTGATTTGTGAGGATTAGATTTTTGATTGCACACTAGTCAGTAACTAGTGTCTAATGTGTCTAGTCCTATCTTCGCTGCAGATTGAATTCTATCAGTCAAGCTTGCAATGTGGCCACCATGCTAGGTGGCTCACCATTAGGGTGCACTGTGAATTGTTGGTATTAGATGGTTGGTGGCAATCGACCACAGGAAGCCTTGCTCGACCTAGGTTTCGTGCTAGTTGGCACTCATCAGTCAGCAAGGCGTATCTGCAACCTTGAAGGAACTCATGTCCCTTCTGAGATTCGAACCCGCGTTACCCAGTGCTGCAGTCAGAGACGTTACCACTGAGCTATTCAGGCTCGCGACTGACCTCCTGTAGGACTGTATTGGATATTTTTGATTCCACACTAGTCAGAAACTAGTGTAATGCGTCTAGTCCTATCTTCGCTGCTGACTGAATTCTATCAGTCACGGGTTCGAATCTCAGAAGGGACATGAGTTCCTTCAAGGTTGCAGATACGCCTTGCTGACTGATGAATGCCAACTGGCACGAAACCTAGGTCGAGCAAGGCTTCCTGTCGATTGCCTCCAACCATCTAATACCAAGGATTAGATTTGTTTATACGAGTTTGACCACGGATTGATATCAGTTAGAGAACCATTGAAAACCAGCATGGAGTACTGGATAGCTGTCTCATCCTAGTTTGAGACTCATCGGCAGTACGCAGCCATCACCACGGTTCAAACCGAAGAGCTTCCGGTTACAACACAAGCTCGAATACCATTCAGCCACTGGGACCCGATTCAATGGCCTGCCCATGAGTTCTAACGTCTACAAATTCGTGATTTCCAATAGTTCTCTAACTGTTATTAATCCGTGGTCAAACCCAAAAAATAATATATAATGTGTATACTGTTAACAAAGAACAATTACAAAACAGAGCATCTTTTTTGTGTGTGTTGCTAAATAGTTGTTTATATTATTGTACATAGTGACACTTGTGAACAGTTTGACAATAGTGAGTAAAACGAAGTTATTGGAGCAGTAAGAATCCATAAGAATCTCTTTTTTGTTTTTATTGAAATTCACTAGTGAAGTCAAACTCGCTAAGCATTATCATCGGGCTAACTTCCATTGAACGATTTTTCCTCCTACTAAATGAGTGTCAGCTAGTTTTGCATAGGAGATATAAGAGCTTTGTTAGTTCATTGACACCTTTTTTTATGATATTGTCATGATCTTCCCAAAAGAATACAGTTTTGCCCACCAACGGATTCATGAAACAGCAGAACAAAACAGATAGAGGGGGATACCTTCGATGTTTTGAACATGTTTCAAAAAGTGTAAGTCTCAAGGGAACAAAAGCTTTCATAAACTGACAAAACAGTTCAGTTCTGCTCAAATTCGCCGAAGCAATTGGCATCAAACAACACACATCTGTTAGGTAACAAGCAGTAATCAATCTTTTCATACCCTAGTGACTGAATGCTTTTACTGTCCCTTTTTTATTTGATTACGAAATTTCTGACATTAACCTCTTCCCCTTCACTATAATGTAATTTTGTTTGCCTTTCGTTGCTATGAGTTGAAATGAACTCATGTTACTCGACTTACTAGTTATCCATCATCTTATCCACCTCTTGTCTGTAATACGCAATTTCTTTTGCTATTGTATCCAAGCTTTCATTTTGAATAAAGCAAGAACAAGAGTTAGTTTGTGCAGAATAATATGGTATCATCGTTTATTTCGTTAGCTTCTCATCATCCGCTTACAGCTTGCAAATTTTACATGATGTCAGTTAACAGGAGGTTCCGTAATTAGTGAACAGTGCTCAGAAAATCGCTCTTATGTAGATTTTAAACATGCAGTTCAATTTTAACTAAAATAAATGTATGCATTTAATGGTAAAGGAGTTACGTAATAAACACGAGAGATGCGTTAGATGATGAGTGACTAATAAATTAGGTAACAATGTATTGAGTTCAACTCAAATCATAGAAACAAGAGGCAAGCAAAACTACACTGTATCAAAGGAGTGAGGTTAGAGCCAAAGATTACGTAATCAAATGAAAGAAAGAATAAAGACATCCAGTTACCAGGATGAGCAAGGAAAGACTAATAACTGCTTCTTTCTGAACCTCGTGTCAACTGACATCATGTAAAATTTGTAAGCTGTAAGCAGATGATGAGAAGCTAACGAAATAAATGACGGTACTATATTATTTTTGCACAAACCACTGTTGTTTTTACTTCATTCAAATTCATCAAGGGGAATAAATAAGTGAAACTTTCATTTTATTTCGTTTAAACTTGAACCTTCTTGTTTAAGCTGGATAAATGTAACTTCTGAGCATTGTTTATTATGTTTGCAGTCTCCTATCAACTGACATCACGTGTAAACTCTGTGTATATTAATATTCTTCTGTACATAAACTTAATAATTTCTTTAGGCTGAAAGCAGTTGATGAGAACCCAATGCAATAAACAACGCTACCACCTTATTCTGAACGAAAACCGTTGTTTTTGCTTTATTAAAACAGCAATCAACATTGCTTATTATTTCTCTTATTGCCGACTAGCAGTGTAATCTAGAATTGAAAATTTAGCCTATCTCAAACTCGTCAGCTGAATGTACTTGCATTCCTAGTCATTGATGAGTGAAGCGTCTGTACTAGAAGCCGACATATGCCAACAGATACCGTGCATTTTCGCTCCAACAACATAATCAATCAACGTGAAATGCATACAAAATTAACCTATAAGCAAATCGCTAATTTTTTGTAATTTCCTGTGGATTATGCGTATAAACACATTAAAAATAACCCAATCGATAGTTAGTGCCTGCATAGCTTTGTGTCTCTTTTCTTAATCACCCCTTATTTAATACATACAACTACTACTAATGCTATTTCAAAATGAAGTATGCACTGAAGATTTTGTCTAGAAGGAGGTCAATAAAAGATTCGCAACTGAACCATTCAGTTCAGGGAAGACAACTAAGCCAATATCATCCACCTACCTGAGCTACAAGTCTTCTCCATCATACCCAAATAGTAGATCAAATGATGCTAAGAAAAGGACTAAGTAGAAGAAAAGGCAACAGAAACTGCTGTTACAGAAAGGGGAATTAAGAAGCTCGAAGAGTCAACGAGACCGTATTCCAAACATAACAGGCACAATCAACTTTAGTGTTTAACTGATAAAGTGAGCTTAGTAATATGATTAAGACAAAGTACATAGCGAGAGAAATAAGGCGAAACAATCATGAAAGACAATATCAAACAGTTTGTTTGCGTTTATTAGGGACATGGAAATAGAAACCGCGTAAATTGACAAGGCGAAAGTGATAAGTCTTTCAGACTGTAAACAACCTGAAAGGAAAAGCTAAAATGACAAATCATCACAGTTGACTCCAAACGGCGTTTCAAAAGGGATTATGATTGACATCCACTAATTTCTCGAAATATTCCTTTCTAATAGTCACTCTTCACAGTCTCTTGTTATCACTACTTCAACATCCTCATCAAGTGTTAGTTTGCAGGGATTTTATTGATTACAGGTTTGATGACCGGTTAACGTCAGTTATAGAACCATTCTAGTGAGATATTGTAAACAACGAGGTTCCCTAAGTCAGGTAAGAGACCAGTTACTCGCCTACGATACTGACTGGCAGTTGCGCCATATACATCACGAATTGGCGGAAGTCGGAATTTATGGGCTCTTATATCCGGTTCCACCTGGCAACCAGAAGGTCTTGGGTTCAAATCCCAATGAGTGCGTGCCGCTGAAGAGTCCTGGACTAGGGAGAAACAGCTCTCCAGTACTCCCAGCTGGTTTTCGAGTGGTCCTGAGACTAATCTCAACTCGTGATCAAACCTGCAAGTTCAATATTTCTCGAGCACTCATTGAGTACACTGCATCTTAACAAACACTTCTAAGCAAACAAATAATTCAATAATTATCGGATAGAAATGTTGCAACTACATAACTGAACTAACCTTGTTTGCAATTCTCCACGCAGATCAGATAATATTCGTGCAGCATCTTGATAAAAGCTTAACTGAGCAGAAACGAAATTTGATAATGCTTCAATTTGTTCCACCTTAAATTGTATGCCAAATAAAAAAAGAAAGATAAATACGTAGACGGCAAACAAAATAAAATAAATCAAGGTAGGATTAAGTATGAAATAACTAACGAATAAGAGAAATTATTTAGTAATAAAATTCACAATTTAAAAATTAATTCGCCATTTCTAGTGTAACGGAAAAATTGTTTTGGAAAACCCTTCCTGAACGATTTGGATATATGGATAGTTCAACTAACTTTGTAATTCAAGTGTTGGTTTGTAGGGATTTGATTGGTTACAGGATTTTCATCATGAGCTGACATTAGTTAGAGAACCATTGGAAAACCTGGGAATCCCGGTGGGTGCGTACTGCCGAAGAGTCACAAACTAGAACGAAACAGCTGTCCAGTACTCCCAGGTTTTCCAATGGTTCTCTAACTAATGTCAGCTCATGATGAAAATCCTGTAACTTTGTAATTATTATCCGTTTTTTCTCCTAGATTGTATATCATTATTTTGACATTTGCATATCATAAGTTGATTCGATCCTTATTATTTGACTTTGTTCCTGTTTAATCTCTAATTTTAACACTTCTCTCTGTGGTTGTGTGATGCTATTGATAATGCGTTCTACGATGTGATTTTATCTCAGTGAATCAAGGTTATTCCGATCTTGGGCCGTCTGTGGGAAACATTGGTGTGTGATTCCTGCGGACAGAGGTTTTGATCCCACCTTGCTGGGAATACTATATTTGATTTTTAAGTACTCGTTTTGTACAGCTGTATAGCTGCCTAACGGCACTGTTGAGGTTATTCTGAGTTTTTGATTTTACTATTGTTAGACAGAACTGCAGAATTATTGAAGAATACTCGTCTGCTTACTGTCTTTGAAGCGTTTCATGACTGGGTGTGTCTCAAGGAGGTTTCAACTGTGCGGCGTTACGAGATACAAATGGAAGGCTATTCACTATTATACTCAGTAACTTAGTAACAGTTTATTTAGTGATGTAATTGGTTATGCCTGACTAGTCCCTATCTAAAATAATACAAAAAGAAGATATTGACAACAGAAGAAAGAGGAAATCAAAAGTGTAGGGATCCAATATTCACACTATTCTCAGTGATACATCCGATTAACCCAAAGACCGACTAAAACATCCTTACAGATGAAGTTACTTTACAACTTGCACATCACCATTACATAAAAAAATTAAAACATTGTGTACTCCTAACACAATGAACTGCATTCTTACAATTTGAAAATAAAATCTGCCGTTATTCCTCAAATATGAATCACGCTAATTCAGATTCATTGGAGGATTTCATCATGAGCTGACATCAGAGAGAGAACTATTGGAAAACCTGGGAGTACTGGACAACTGTTTCGTCAGCCTAGTTTGGGACTCTTCAGAAGTACGCACCCATCGCCAGGGTTCGAACCCAGGACCTTCTGGTTACAAGGCGAGCTCGTAGACCATTAAGACACTGGGACCCAATCCAATGACCCATGAATTCTAACTTCTGCCAATTTATGACATAGCGCGACCACTTCTCAATGTCTTCTTCGATGAGTTACTGCCTCATCTTCAACCTGCTGAGCCCTACTAATAACGGCTTCCCACCCACTTCCCAGGTTAACTGCCTCAACAGGGTCAGTCGCAAGTGAGCATCAGACAAATTTTCAAGTATTAGTTTTGTAGGGAATTTCGGGTTCGAGCCCCGGCGAGTGTGTACTGACGAAGAGTCCTAAACTAGGCTGACGAAACAGTTGTCCAGTACTCCCAGGTTTCCTAGTGGTTCTCTAACTGATGTCAGCTCATGATGAAATCTTCCAACCAATCAAATAAAATTCCCTACAAAACCAAAACTTGAAAATTAATTCAAATTCAACTTGAACCTTTGTGAAGTTTAAAAGTATTCACTACTTGAATGGATCACAGATAGGAAATTCTCTCCACTTTTCCAGGTTTAAGTATCAAAGTTTCATACAATACACATGACTTAACATGAAACGCACGAATATGCAGGTATTTAATGAAGGTTATGCGTCCCTATGCTTCTTTTCTTGATACTGTTTCATAGAAATTAATTAACATTAATGTTTGGGGTTTGAATAATTTCCTAGACGCATAGTTTATTCACAAAGTTCAACAGAGTTTATTGTTTTTATGAAATGAGTTTTATCTTTAGTATTGTATTTTTGAGTGTCAGTTTCCGGGAAATGAATCGATTTCAAGTCTTGATCATAGATTAACATTAGTTAGAGCATCAATGAAAAAGCACCAGATAGTACTGGACAGGTGTTTCATCCTAGTTTGAGGCTCTGCAGCAGTATGCACCCATACCCTACTAGAAATCGAACACATGACCGTAGGGTTACTTGATTCTAAGTACCAGTTTTGAATAGCTGCCTAACGGCACCTGGTTTCATCAATATGATTCAAATGCAAAAAATTTATGTTGTTATATTTTCTAAATAAATAAATCTAGTACCTGAAAAGTCCCGAACTAACATCATATAATGACTTGATGGGAGAGTAATGAGCACTTGACATCTCTCTAGAACATGTGGATTAAATTGATTTTTGAACTTAGGCACTTCAATTACCCCATTGGTAAACTGAGTCTCGAACGAGTGGAATAACCATCCACTGCTTCGATAATCTCGACTTATCTGACAAGCATTAATGATTAACGTCGGTCGTAGTCTTCAACTATTCACACTAATCAATAACATGTACCGTTTTGAACACTTAGGTTGTTTCTTTGGTATCATCTAGGTCAAAAATTGCGATATGGATTACTTGGCATTTCAAAATGAAACTCCAATGGAATTTCACCTTGAATCGTGAACTTTGCAAATGATTGATTACACTTTACAGCAGTAATAATACATAATTACCTAAATGTACAATGAGACCACACGCTAGTTCTTACTATACAACCAACCAACAATGAAAGATTGTAGGTATTACGCGACCATCAAGTCACTGGATTACTTTGTGAAATTACACTGAATAAGATGACTAGGATGAGTGCGATAAGCACAAAGTTCACACCTCACCTCTACTTGTAACCGAGCAAACTCCAACAGGTTCACTTGAGTTAGATACAAATGAGTAAAATACGACTTTATGTATCAATCTTTGAGTAGAGAGAGAGAGAGAGACGTGATTACCACTCTACACCTTACTTGCATTGTTAAATTCACCTAATTATTCAATTTTTGTGACTTTTAGACCATAAAAAACAAGAACTTCAACTGACATACAATACTCATAAAAGCTACCTAAATCTCACCTAAACTCTATGCTGCTATGTCATATGGTATGAAATAGTTTTCAATGTATAAGCCAATCAATTAGCCATACACCTAAGAATTTGGACGTGTGGCAACGATAAAGAATCACAACAACAACAACAACAATAGCAACTCAATCATATGATCATCAAATGATCGCACGGTAGTTAAAGTAACACCCATTTGTACATATATACGCCTGAATCACTTTATAATACAAGATGAGATCATTGGAAAATGAAATCGACTAGTTTACTTGTATAACCTTTTCGATTAGTTTTGTCTGTCTGTCTCTGTCTGGATTCAACATACAACTTGTCACCGAAGTGCAGCAGTTCAAGTTGCCACGTTCCAAATAGCACACAAAGATAGACAAGAAAATGAGTGAAGAAAATCAATAGAGTTTTGACAAGTATAAGAGTGAAACAGAATGAGTAATGGTAGAAAGGAATATGAAAGATTACAGAGACTGAATACATCTGCGTAAGCCATTGACAACGATTTTGAGCCATGTCACCTATTGTCTCCAGCCATTGATTCTTAGAGTCCCGAGGGCGGGCCCCAACCCGGAAGTCTACATCTCCCTACCTGACTCAGTTTAACTGTCAAGGATTTCATGGATTGATGAGGCCATGTTTTTGTTTGGCCACCACTTACTCTTTTCCAACCTGCACCTATATCAGCTAGTAATGCTCGTCGGGGGAGGCGATGGCTAGGCATGCACACCACGTGACCTAGTTTTGTAATCAATGATGAGTGTTTAAGTACTGAAAGTAGTCTAGATTCTCTGTATATACTGCTATACATGAAATTATATTAGATAGTGTTAACTTATTACCAATGTGGAAATCTGATACACTCAGCATAAGGAAAAAGATACGGGTCTTCCACACTAACTAGTGTCAGATCAGTGCTTCTATGCGAGTTCAGGGAGACTTGACATAAGTGTCACCGAAAGCACTTCCAATGGCCTACTACAGACTTTTATCAGTAGCTGAATTCGCTAGCTCCATAATGAATGTCAAATGACTGGCCAGAAAGCATAAGATAACAATGAACTCCGGCAACGAGTCAACAACACACACAACTGAACTCTGAAGAACTAAAGGCCCTCAAAAAGCTGAAAAATAGGAAAGACATCGTCATCCTACCAACCGACAAAGGAAGAACAACAGCAGTCATGGACAGAGAAGAATACACAAAGAAAGCTGAAGAACTACTCAAAGACGAGGATGTATATCAACAACTTTCAACAAATCCCATACAAACATTGGACAACCGCATCTAAAGGACCTTGACCAAGCTCACCAAAACTGGACAGATCACAAAACAAGACCAATGGCGAATGAAATCCAATGGACCAGTCCTACCCCGATTCTATGGCTGACCCAAAATACACAAGCCGAATATCCTATTACGACCAATTGTATCGCTCCCAGGAACTCCAACATAAAACTTATCCAAAGAATTATACAGAAAACTGAAACACCTAACGGAATCTCGTGATCACTCTATCAACTCTAGTACCCAATTTCTAGAGTAAATCAAAGGCATCCAAATAGATGGACAAGAAATAATGATATCCTTCGACGTCACAGCATTATATACCTCAATCGGACAAAAGCTAGCAAAAGAGACCATGGAACAATTACTCAGCAACGACGAACACCTCCCACAACAATCAAAAATGCAACACACAAGCTGGATGGAATGCATAAACCTGGGCCTAACAACGTACTTTCAATTCAACGGTCAAATATATGAACAAGTCAAAGGAACACCCATGGGATCGCCAATATCAGGTTTGATTGCAGAAGCAGTGATGCATAGGCCCGAAAACATAATCCTACCAAAGATCAAACCCAAGATTTGGATACGTTACTTAGACGACACATTTGTAATCATCAAAAGAAACGAGTTAGATAAAACTCACAACTTAACAAACAACATCTTCAACGACATCAAATTTACAAGAGAAGAGGAATCCGAGAGCAAAATCCCATTTTTGGATGTCTTAGTCAAGCGAACAACTACGGGGGAATTAGAAACCCAAGTTTATAGAAAATCAACTCACACAGACCAAATACTGAATTACAATTACGCTCACAATCAAGAGAATAGACTAATGTTGATGTGATGGTATAACATGGTATAAGAAATGAAATAGAAACTCCAAGTTTACACTCAAAAATTGCCTATCTACCTAGTTTGATGAATCTTAACAAGAATCAAAATAATTTCAATCGTACAACCTTTCAAAACGACGTGCTATCACATTTACCCTACCTAGTAATGATGACATCACGTGTGTATAAAAGCAGGAAAGCAGTAACCAGACAACAATTAGGTAGTGTTTTACTTTGAGATAGAAAGAAGAAACAGGAATAGTGATTAGGAAGAGGGGGAAAAGAGATAATACAAAAAGCCAAAACCTAACATCAATTTTTCACATGATCACGTGAGCACAATTCAACTCCTTATGATCGTCTATCACGTTTTGTTTATCTTGACATTCAACTGGAAAACATCTTATTTTACAGTTGAAGTCAATATATGTTGAGAATATTTTAGCATCACATTAGGAATAGTAGTACTAGTAGTGTGATGAGTGCTACTTATAATCAGATTTAAGTAGTATGTCAGCAGATGAATTCAGAAAAGTAACAATGTGTTTTGAACACTAGAAAAAGGCACTCGACGAACGTTACAATCACTGTGAAGAATCGAACAAGCTATCGAATGTGGTGATATTCAACCAGTTTGCAAATGATGTGCAAATACAGCATTAAAGATAAGGTATACCAAATTTATGCGCCTACAATGCGTTTGTCCTAATAAACATTGACTTCGAGCCTCATCAGCAGTAGGTCCAATAATCATTTGAGACTATACAATAGGCACAAAAACATGTGACGTCTACTTAAAGTCATTTAACATGTTTAAGACTATAGAGATGGTGAGATACCATACCATACAGGACCAGTTTCGTAACCACGGATAGATTTAATAAAGCTAAATGATTCCAGTTATTTTAAACACATTTAATCATGTAGTTCAAATTCATCTCTGGATATACAGAGATTCGATAAGTGGAACACTCTTATACGACTGTAGCTGCGATGCTATTTATTTGACAGTGGTATACATGGGTTCATGGTTCGGGAGGCGCGACAGTTTTCCTATCCACTCACAATGAGTAAGTCAATTGACCTTTTGGCTTCTCACTCACAGAAGCTACATAGTGATATTCGTAAGTAATGACAGGATACAAGATACACCACCTACAGATCAACCCTGATAACCAAAATTATAATTTTGCCGTGAAACTTCCACACATGTCTAATTACATTAGACTGAGGAATCAGCATGTTCGAACTTTCTACTAACCTTTCTTTCTACTTAACCTTCTTGTTTATTGGATATATCACATACAGTGTAACAGTATTATTGATTGAATGATGAAGTTTCGAACACAACTTATTGTTCATAATCATATCATCAATTGTAACTATACAACTTATACAATTTAAGTTTTATACTTCTCTTTATTCCTTCTCATTCATTGTAGAAGTAGTAGAAGCTTCCAAATGCCTGGGTCATGTGTTCAATCACCCCTATTCCACATATTCTCAGCTAATTCGAAAAATAAAGCTTTAGAGTCATCAATCTCTCCCTCCACCCTGTTCACATTAGATTTAAAAACCATCGCCTTATCCCATCCTATCGTATGGCTGTGTATGCCGATTGCATATGGTACTACGGTTGAGCTCTTTCCTATATTTCTTATATTATTATGATCTACTAGTCTTGGTTTCACTAAATGACTGTGACCTATTACTTCAACCTACATATTTTTGACCTCACAATCATTACAAGGTATTAGATGAAATTAGATTACTCTGGTTAGTAGGCTCCTCATTATCCTTGAATCGACATTATTTGTTTCTAGGTGAGTTCGTGAGTTTGACTGCCACTTTTATTCCTGCATCTTACATAGTGTTTCAGAGGTCCTCTCTTTGCATGGCAGCACTATGGATGCTTTGAATTCCCTCCCCCTGATGTTTTAATCTTTCTGTGTAAATAGTACTAATAATGATATAGCGAATAATACTATTTGACTGAAATGACTGCGAACAATTAATTGAGTTCGAAACGTCATCCGGCAAATAATAAATAATAATATGAAATTACATATCACCACTGTGCTCAAGTTTTACACATATATTCATTCCTACCAGCCTAATTAATTTTTTCAGGTTTATGATGCATCACGTTGACTGAAACCTTTCTCGTGACGAATGCTCATACAGTAAACAACACATACGGTTTATTTTTCGCATAGAGAATAATATGAAGATGAATTTAAACAATTCAAACAGAGATAATTACTTCACCATCCAAGAAATTTGACATTGCTTTTGAACTAATTGTTAAGGCTTCTTCAAATTGACTTTTAGCTTCTTCAAATGCATCATCCGGTTGAGCGTTGGCTGCAATTTTTAAAATCATGAGTATATTATAAAGAAAAAGGAAAATCGAACAAATGAATAAATAGAGAGTAGAAAATAATACAGGGTAAATAAAAGGAAAAAGTTTAAAAAGTATCTCCACCAGCAGATTAATGGTAGAATGCTTGTCTATCGAGCACGTCGTCCAGAGTTCGATTCCCGGACGACACATTTCTAACCCACTCCCACTAGTTTACTAGCTGGTAGGAAGCTAGCGACCTTAGTCCTTTAAAAAAAACATTGTTATTGAAAATTCACAAGCCTGAAGCCCTATATTCCGCTTAAAAAGCAAAGGAATGATAATGTGCAATCCAATGAATGTACGTACAGATGTGGAGATAAGTAGACAGGCCGTAGCATCAAGACACTGTCTAGACGTGTCCATGAACACTCACCATTATGGTTGTCAAAAGGAGAAGATAGAACAGTCAATAGCTCAATCGTGCAGCATATTATTACTTCTGATCATGCACCATCACCAGAGACTTCTTTCAGAGTCATATTGTAAAGTACGACCAAGAGCAATCTACATTGCATTTATAAACCCCCTAAATAACTGTACAGCTTTGAAGTTACGAAAACAGATCGATTGCTGATTCACGTGTTCTTAATATTTTAAATAGTAGAATTAGGTGCCATCCACTATTCAGAGTAACTAGTTCGTAGACTTTTATTAGTTAGAACTCAATTAACTAGGCTGTAGACCATAATCATTAAATGAGGGAATCGATACTACTATCTAGTTGCCTAGATCACAGTAGGCACCGGTGAGGATCGGAATCAATAACTCAGTGGCTGAAAACGAATCAGTCACATACCTACCTAGCTTAACATCAAAAAATTTGGTCAAATAAGTTTCTTTGGTTACAGGATTTCATCATGAGCTGACATCGGTTAGAGAACCACTGGAAAACCACCAAGGAGTACTGGACAGCTGTTTCGTCCTAGTTTGGGACTCTTCATCAGTACACACCCATCGTGGTTTGAACCCAGGACCTTCTCGTTACAAGGCGAGCTCGTATACCATTAAGCCACTGGGACCCGATACAATGGCCAATCCATGAATTCTAACTTCTGCCAATTCACGATATAGCGCAACCGCTAGCCAATGTCTTCGGCGAGTATTTGTCCTCACACTCGACCTACTGCACCCTATTGGTCACGACTTCTATCTAAGAGATAAACCATGTACGAACAGTGAACAGCCAAGCTGATCAATTTAACAATTACAAGAGAGGACAACAGTCAGTCACACAAAGTAAACAATATCAGAAACTAATGACTACTTCAACAACAAAAAAACAAAATAAAATCGAATCCTATGGAGAACAATTTTTTTTAAAACGCGCAATAATGACAAGTATGAACACATTTGATGCATTATGAAGTGAACCATTTTGACAGAGATAAAGGCTTTTAACTTGAAGCATTCTACATACAAGTATGAAGTTCTAAGAAATTGAAACTAATTTTAAACTGAATAGAAGCAATCTTGGCGCTGCTCTTTGATTATTATTATTGTTATTGTTATGCCCTTTGGTTCTGAGTGGAAAATAAGGCCCCAATAGAACATCTCTATTTCACCGTTTTCCTTGCATTCCTTTTTAGCTGACTGTATGATTCCCTACAGGATTTAATTTCCTCCTCATACGATCTTCTTCTCCATGTCACCCTTGGGCCTACACACAACTTGTTGTTTCATATTTAGGTGCATAATGTCACTCAACGGCCTCCTCAGCGTGTGTCCGATCCATCTTCATTTTCTCCTATGCATTTTGTGGGTAATAGGTTCTTGGCTGGTTTGTACCCAGAAGTCATTGCTGTCTATCCTTTCTGACAAGCCAACTGGTATTCAATATGGAGGAAAGGCAGCTACCGATAAAAGTTTGCAGTAGGCTGTTGGAGATCCTTTCAGCAATGGACACGAATTTGACATTAATGTTAAAAATCCCGATCTTGTTCCTTGTGCTGAGTTCAGAGTAATGAAGGTCTGATTTGTTTCTCCAATTCTGGCCTTGATATCCTCAGCTGTGCCTCTACCTGTAGTAGAAACGATGCTGCCTACGTAAGCGTAAAAGGTGACTTCCTTAAGATTCCTCCTGTTGTTAATAACTGATCCTTATTGTTGTTGATTGGGCATGTTCATCACCTCTGCCTCTTTATTAAGTCATGCCGTTGCTGCCTCTTCTGTCAAACTGGTTGTTTTTCATTAATAAACTAGGCGAGGTCAACCGCTCTATTATTATCACAGCAAAATAACTAACAAACATAAATATCGAAATACTGTCAAGAATAATTCATGACTCTATCACCATTATGAAGTCATTACTAAATATTAATCTTTCAAGAGTTGATCTGTCTTTCAAGTTTGATCATGGATTGATACCAGTCAGAGAACCATCGAAAACCACTTCTGGAGTACCGGACATCTGTTTCATCCTAGTTTGGGACTCACCAGCAATACGCACCCAGTGGGGTTCGAACCCAGGACCTTTCGACTACAAGGCAAGCTCGTAGATCATCATTCAATGGGGTCTATCCTGTCGGAAGTGAGGACTTATAATATCCAATAAAACTATATTGTTCTTCCTTCCATATTACTATTCTTTTCGCCTCATATCTCTGTTCTCTTCTCTTGCTTTGTGTGCTAAGTGAAGTGTGGAGACTCGAACTGCTGCATATCGGTGCAAAGTTCTACGTTGAAACCAGCCAGTAAGAAGTGAGGACAAATGCTCGCCGATGATCTTGGCTGGTGGTTGTGCTAAAATCAAAAATTGGTAGAAGTTAGAAGTCATGGGCTGGCCAATGAATCGGGTGGGGCCCCAGTGACTGAATGGTATACGAGCTTGCCTTGTAACCAGAAGCTCCTGGCTTCGAAACCCCGTCGGTGCCTACTGATGATGAGTCCCAAACTAGGACGAAACAGCTGTCCAGTACTCCAATAGTGGTTTTCAATGGTTCTCTAACTGATATCAATCTGTGGTCAAACTTCAAAAATAAATACTAATCATTTAAATGATGAAAAATTAACCTTTTTCAGAAGTGACTAAATCATAATGAAATAGTATTTGCTTCTTCATAAGTGTTAATATTTGCGGTCAGTAGTCAATTCTCCATTTTAATTCAATTCATAAAAGACGTAAGTTTGTTTACATCTCGAAATGTATACACAAATCCATATGTTCTGCAGTTGTTGTTGTTTTCTTTTTCGTTATTCCTTTGTATTCCGAGTGGAACACAGGGAATCAGGCTGGAGTCTTGAAGTTTTAGTAACAGTAGTGTTATTTTTACAAAGTGAATCTGTCAGCCTAACCGCCAACGTGTCCTCTTTACCTGGGCTTACTACCAAGTAAGCGAGGTTTCAGAGTGCGTCAGCCGGGAGTTGGACTCGAACCACTTATCACAAAGCATCGATACACAATCTATTCTACATAGTTATGATGAACTTGATAGACGAATAACAGAGAGATTAATCATTAGGCTATTCGAAATAATCTTAATACATTAACCCTGATAAGGTATACGTGAATGAAAAGTAAAATTCGAAAAGGAATGAGAGACCCAGCTAAATAAGAATAAGCAGTTCACAGCTTTAAAAAAGTAAAAAGAGGAGACATTCACAAAAGCAAATGATTTACTACAAATAACTCACTTTTTTCTAAAACATGTTTCCTATGATCATAAGTTAATCGTTTGCTTTCAGCTTTCTTCCGAAGCAACTAGAAAAGTAGTAGAAGAAGAAGAAATGTATTTTCTTATCTGTACTTATAAATTATAATGGATAACAGGAAATTTACAAGACCTTATGTAGTGAAAAAGTTGAAAATGTGGATAAGAATGGGAATCCATAACCCATTGGGGTTGTTATACTGAAGGCCTTAAACTAATTAGTTAATAGCAAATTTTGGTGTAGAAATAACCACTACATCCCCAAATGCATAACACAATGCTGCACCAATAAGGCATTCACTGAACTTGGGAACATACAACAAGAAGGATATACACACCGAATACGGGGTTTTCATTTTCGTCAAACAGCCTTAGCTAATATACATGCAACTGATTGATTAAGACTAAGTTTTCAACATAGGGCTTTGCACAAAACTGCAGTAATTCAAGTCGTCACACTCCATAAGATACAAGAAGGTAGGCAGGAAAAAAAATCAAAGAAACTATAATGAACGGGAACGTGATGCTACATCTGACTCTTTTCCCCATTTAATTCTATGTTAGCTACAACTACTCAACGGGAAAGGCAGTGGCTCAGTATACATGACACGTGCTCTAGCTTTACAATCTCATCGATTGCCTTCTCCTGCTTGTTTAATACTCTACGTCTAATCTTAATTTTTTAAAGCATATTATACCATTTGATACTTGAGATAGAATACAGACACCGATGTTCAAAGACAGTTGCCAGTTACCTGGTCAAAACTGTATAAAAAGTTAGATCACATACCTGACTTCCACATGTTAAGTGGAACTAGATGTGATCCAGAATGCAAATGAACGGAATCAAATGCTGCCTTCAGGTAAAGAAATATGGCAAGTATTAGATGCTGAGAAAGTATGTGTATGTTCCAGTATGTTCTAAAGGGTGCAGATATGATCAATACATCCCTTTCTGAACTTAAAGGCTATCTGGATTCACCGAGCATTGCTTGGTGTTCACATCTGATTGATAGATTTATCATCAAGCAGCCAATTCACATATTTATATCTAATCCATCCAGTCTGCGGATAATTATATTTTAAGCAGTTCTTCCAACTGTCTGTCTGTCTGTCTTTTTTCGACATAGTTCTTCCAACACAAATACTAAGTGATTTCAATTTCTATTACTTAGCAATAATAATAACAGAGGGTTGAAAAACTGCAAAACGATCTTCGAAAAAAGCAATGTTAGTTCAACAATAGAGTAACTGAAACACACAGACTTCCTGTGCATTATAAACTACATTATAACATCAGCCTAACAATTAATCTCATTTTGACTACAATAAAATCTAAATCACAATTCCTTAGTTTCTAAACATCACTGGAAGTAATTTTCAGTGAATATTTCAAGCACAGTGTGTTTATCGCTTTTATACTAACTCCTCTATCCTTTACGACAGTAGCCAGTATTGTCTTCGACTGTTTATCCGTCTGGTTATCTGTTTCGTAATGAATCCAAACCCCATGAGGATAGTTGAACTCACTATTTGAACCCGCCAATGTACCACCTTTGTGACATCCTATGCCGATCACAAGCAATGTTTCCTGTTCTAGACATATGAGCGTCTTTTTAAGTAGTAACTTATTACCAGCCATTTTAAACGACCTGGTACGGTCGAGGGTGGGCAGACTTCGGTCTTCTTCGTGAAACCCATTCATCTGGCCAGACGCTCATAGCCTCTACCATGTAATCCCTGTTCACTACCTTCTAACAGTGGGGGGGGGGTTCCTCACAAAAGTGAAAGGGAGGATGTGAACTTCTGGAACTTAAAACCAAACTGGTGGACATCCTGATTTACTACGGGGAGATAGGAAACCCTAATTCCAAACCTATGGAGAACATGGGCTATGGAATCCAGAAAGATCCAGTGGACCTGTTCTGGTCACTTGCGAAGATGAGGATGTAGCTCCTGACGCTGCTCCGACGCCTTGCAGATCACACTTCAAGTCGAAGGCTCGCGAGTGGCCAGCTTCGGTCTGGACGTCTGGGCAGTACGGCAGCCCTCGCACAGACTATGAGACTTTGTGTGGCGCATGTCTTGGTGCCCATAATGTACCAAGTTTGTTCTAATAATAATGATAATAATAGTAATAATAATAATAACGACAATACTACCACTGTAATGAGTAACACTAATTCATTGACTCACGCCCCCGAATCTTCTTCCTTAAGCTATACCAAAGAAATTGCGTAAGCCTATCATCATAGATTATACGAAAAAACAGTTCACTTGTTAAAACCTTAGAATGACTTAACACATGGCAATTGAAAATAAAATTTCGCATCAAAATATCCATTTTGACAATTCTCTTACTTTTCCAAGTTTATTTATGAATAAAGGGTTATTTGTTACATATACTAAGCTTAATGACTCCCATTGTAACATTAAGAACATAATATTCAGCGAAGAGACTCTTTCCAACTTAAGGCTTCACAATTCAATTGTGTTTAAAGTCAGTTAAGTATAAGCTACACCACTCCCGCCTGTATATCTCAACTTTCTCCACCCTACGTATCCGTGTTTACGCATACACATAGGCATACACAATCTGATAAATGTAGTCGGATATTATTTTAAACGTATGAACAGTAGAAGCTAAAACAATTCAACTACTCAAATTGTTTAATGCGCATTGAACAAACAAATTTTTTTCCAATTATGCTAACCTAATTTACAAACAAGAGGTAACCGTTTGAACTTCAAGGGTATAAAGAAAGAGCTAAATGAGGTAATGCATACAAGCGGAAAGTAAACAGTACTATTAATTTACAAGGTTTAAAGGTGCCAGAATAGTTATACAGCAGTTGTATATCGCTTAAAAAATTTTCAGCTTACTGTTATCTCTCTGATATCCTGATTCAATGTTTCTGAAATCGGTTTCAAGTAACCGGATCTTGTTTCATCTAACGACTGTTCTTTCGACTCCACAATTCGACTGTATGCTTCTCCACATCGAAGAAGTGCAAGGCCTTATAAATAAATAAGCAGATACATAATCCATAATGATTTAATTGAAATTCTTTATTACAGCATATTGCACATAAATGCAAACAAAAAAGGCAATGAAGAAGAAAATCAAACTGTAAATAAATCCAAAAAGTCATGTTTTCTTAATGTCTCATTTCATGTAATATGATGCAAATCAATATAAGTGTGTGCATACTACCAGTTACTATGGTTAGTCGATAACCACTCAAAACAGTCAACGGTGCTGTCTAGCCAGATTGAGATGGTTTAAAGAAACACTAATATGGAAGACTCGCCTCTTAAAAGTCGACCTCACCAAACATCCCGAATACAACCCGTTAGAAATAGAAATAAATATTTATCAAGCAATAATTTATACATAAAATATAGTGAATCCATCTATGCCTTCAAACTGAGAAGAGTTCAGGAGATTTAAATCTATAAACTAAGGCTGAACTACCGAGTAGCCAGACACATAAACCACTATTTAAAGTAACATCATTCAGTAACTATCGATGTTAAAGAATGTTTTACAGTTTAAGCGAGCATATCATAAATCAGGTAGGTATTTCGATAAGATTCAATGACTTAATACAAGCTGTTTTTGTAGTATTTGACACCTGGGATTTTACCAGAAGTTCCTAACTGGTCGAATATTATTTAACGCCCACACACAAAAGCGTATGAATACCAAGGGATATGACTACCAAATAACAGCTTTCTGAATGTTTTATTCGCTTACTTTATAATTGCTCTTCATAATCTACGTGTTTCACTCGCCTAATTCCAAATAAAACAGGCAATGAACAATCTATATCACTTTAATACAAAGAAACATGTTAATTTAGAGTAAAAAATGTTTGATTTCACCAACTTTGCAGGAAGAAAGCTATGTATGATGAACATTAAGCAAGAATAACATATTCAGGAGGCGAATAAAGGGTTATATGAATGAGTAGTATAAAAATTACTTAGGAATTACACAGATGACGCAAGATCTTGTCACAATTAAACTTTAACTGTTTAACTATACCAGTAGAGATTTCGTCGGAAATCAGCAAGCTACGATCACATAATTACCAGTGGCACGAAATGTTACAGACCATCGAACATAGGAAGCCAGGAGCCACCCACACTGCTTTCCCGATTACATTGGCCTGGTATTTAGCATACTAACATTTGATCGGCGAAATCTGGACGAGCCGTTTTAGTCATGATGTTTACTAGGGATAATTGTAGAGTTAATCGTAAACCTAACATTTCACAGGTGATCTATGAAAATCGGAGCCAAAAGCAATAGTTGTAAGGACATACACGAAGGCAAGTGAACTCTAAGTAGCACGCAGATCAAAGTCAAGGGTGCACAGTATGCATGTGCCCGCTAAGTCTAACAGAACTATGAACCTCTTTGAAAGGAATCAGCAAACGTTTGGCTAATAAATGAAACGCAGAACTCATAGAAACGTTAATATCTTATTTACTACCAACACTCGTTATAGGAAAACCTAAATGTAAAGAACGATACTCCCAATTGTCTATTCAACAACCAAAATTGAAGATATGAAAAGATACTAACAAATTCCACCTCTCCTACTAGTTTTCAGATCAATCAGAAATAGCATTTTTGAAAAAAACCTAATTATAATGTGAGACTTTAGTTAACATCAATGCTGTTTCCCAAATATTAAAACTTACTGAAATTATGCTGTTGACTTAACTGTCTACCGTATTCCGAAAAACAATCAGACAGAGCCTTCTCTGCATGAGGATACGATTCGCCACCTGAAGTTCCTTGAATTTTGTTTACAGTTGAACTAGCCCATGCTCGTTTGCGTGCATTTGGGTTAGGTTCTAAGCAATCAACAACCCGTCTTTGAGCACTCTCAAAATACCCTTTGTATGAATCAATAAGCTAGTTATGAGATAAGAGAAGAAGAAGCAGTTAGTCACAGTATTGTACTAAACACAAAAACAACAATACATCTAACAGTTTTGTTCAACCCTCAACACGGTATCCACAGGCAAATAAAAACCATAGGACTCATTTTAAATTTTTTTTTAAGTAATAAAACTTTACCTAAATATCCCGAGCCTAAACTCTAGATGATGCATTGCCATACATAACATCTATATAACGTTGTAAAAGACTTCAGACAATTTAACGGGTAAATTCCCACCTACTTTGAATAACACTAACTTACGAACCGAACATTTAAAAAATAAGTGTAAAACTCCAGAAAGTGTTTTCGAAGTAATCTGGACATTTTTCTCAAAAATCCCAGCTGCATATAATTTCAAAATATTTGCTGGTTCCTCTTACAGGCATATCAAATTGCTCTAATTTTACCAGTTGAGATCAAAAACACTATTTGTATAGTACTTAAATACCCTCCCCCTCATCGTATGTTAATTAGAGGTATACAAATGGCTTAGATTCTGTGAACTACATCCCTTTTACAATTAAATAGAGTCGAATTCAGAAAGTACTCATAGAGCTCCAAAAATCAATAATCTTAAGGGAAGTAGAACGATTTATGCCACCAACACGATCATGCTGTGCATTCCTAACTAATTTTGCATTTATTATCAATCCTAAAAATCCACCCTTAAAATGAAATAACAAACTACATACTTCTTTACTCTACAGCTCCCATTTAAGAATAATATTATGAGTGAACGAAAAAATGGTCGCATAGCTTATGTCTAGGAACTTTCTCACAGTTGAGTTGTAGGTCAGTATATAATATAATCATGTTCTGTTGTTGTATTCAAAAAGAAGCTATACCGCTGCTATTAACAGATGCGCAGGTAAATGCACGTCAATAGCCTTGCATTTTATTATGATTACGCAGTCGGAGAACTCTTCGTAAATGAGGGAGAAATGTCGGATACACTCTTCAGAAAGTAGAGAAAAAGGAGGAAAGTGAGTGACGATGTGGAGAGAAGTAAGAAAATGAGAAGAAATATATAGAAAGTGTAGCTTTAATGTTGCATTGTACCCACAATTCTCTCAAGTTTCACATAACCGAGACTGCCCATTTACCCTAAGTTTCAACGAGTTTTCTCTTGTGCATTCTGTGAGTGGGTAGCCGATAATTCTATTTCATCGAGTATAACGGTTTTAACAATACGATTTTAAAGATCCATGAGACAGTCTGAACATAATGTTGTATGGCATGGCAACAAAAAGATTTTGGACCGACCTGTGCAAGTTGTCTATATTCTGCTCCTTTATCAGTACCCTTCGCTCCTCCTAATTTTTCTGATAAGAACTGTTAAGACGAATTAGTAATAGACCAATAACTTTACCTGATTACCTCTGGCCAGATGTTTCTTGATGGAAGTTAAAGGCATTTTACCTAAATATTTGATTACTGGCAGGTTAGGATAAATATTTGTTAAAGTTACCACGAACAAACCTTAATATGAAGTCCCGAGATTCGTTCAAATGGTAGAAAACTTATGCCAGAAATCCACAACCAAAGCAAAAATAAGCAAGTGAACTAAAAATAATTCACGGAAAATTAGGGTGGTTTGTTTGTTAGGGTGTAAACGTGATATACAATCCAAAAATAAATATACCTGGTAAAGTCAACGTTCTAAAGGAGCTACGACCTACAAAAAGGCCTTGGGTCTGAAATTAAATAGTTCCAATGTCCGATATCTTCTGGATGAGTTTGCATAGACTTTCTGATTTCTTAGCCATCTCTTCTTATCAAAACGTAATGAGTACAAATTTTCACTACGCTGAAGAACTGCGTTATCAGTCATTTCAAAGTTCACTGAATAAACAGTGAATAAATACCATATTAACCAGGTAATCCTGCTCTATGTGTTTAAAACTAGGTAATTTCATGCGTTTAAGATGAAGATAATTCTGAAATTTTCGGTACAATGGTTAATATACGAGAATATTCAGATTTATTGGTTGAGGATAGGCTTGGGTCCTATTTTAATGCTTTTCTAGTGAATTTCTGCGGTTGTCCAAACCCTTCTTGAATGAATCAGTTGAGTTTGCAGACACAAATTCTTTTGGGAGTCAGCTCCAAGAGTTTATGACTCGGTGTGAGAACCATTACTCAACAGCAATATGATTTCCTCTTGGCTTTAGAACTTTCCTGCAATATCCACTAAGGTGTTCTGACCTGGCAGGAAGGAAAAGACAAAATAGGTCAGGTCCGCAGTCATCATCTAGAATTTTAAACATTGTGATTAAATCCTCTCTCTGCCCATGGTATTACAGGGAGAAGATATTTAAACTGTCTAGTCTTTCCTCATATGATAAGTTAGTCATGCCGAGAATCATACGTGTTGCCTTTCTTTGAACACTTTCTAGAATGTGTGAGTCCCCTTTAAGACAAGGGCTGGTGGCCTGAATGCAGTTTTCCAGTCTTGACCTCACCAGAGATGTATATAAGGAGGTGAACATATCTCTGGTGATTCTAGTTGAGGCTCTGAGAATTACCCATAAGGATCTGAAACTACGTGCAGCCACCGCACGACAGTGTGCTGTAGTTTTTAAATCGTAACTATGACACCTAAATCCAAATGAGTCTGAACTGATGGGAGTGTTGTTCCCTCCAGTTCGTGGAGGTTGATGTTTGCTAGTCCGATGCGCATGGCTGCACGTTTTGCCTCATTGATCAGGAGCATCCATTCTATGGACCACTGACAATTTGTTGAGGTACTCTTGCAACGTGGAAGTATCACTGTTGCCCTTCAGCTCTCTCCAAATTTTTAAGTCATCTGCATATAGGACCATGGGGAAATCGCTGAGCAGGGATAACTCACTGATATACAAAATAAATAGGAGAGGTTCGAGTACCTTGCCTTTTGGCACTCCGCTGCGCACTGCTGTCCAGGAAGAGAATTTCCAGTTGATCCCAACCCTCTACACACTATCTATGAGGAATTCCCTAATCCAGTTTAGTAACCTGCCTTTGATACCAAGACTTTCCGGCTTCATGAGTAGCCCTTTGTGAGGAACTTTATCGTAGGTTCTGCTGAAGTCTATGAAGACGACGTCAGTGTCTTGATCACGATGCCTGTAAGACTAATAGGCCTGTAATTTGAAGGGTTTTGTCTTGATCTTTCTATGTGGATGGGGGTTACTGTGGCATCTTTCCAGTCACGCGGTAACACTCCATTTAGCAGAGATAGCTTGAAGATCGTGGTCAATGGACTGTCTGTGTAAGCTTTAGATGACGATTATCAGGAGCCACTGATTTCACTACATGTGGTTTCATGAGGCAGTTGAGCACGATGTCTTGGTCCACGTCAACGGAATCTATCCCGTGTTCCTCTGATACATCCAGAGATGATCCTATGGCGAGTAACGACTCTTGTGCAAGGACATGGGAGAAGTAGTCTACCGTTGCTTCTGCTTTTTCTTGATCTTCTTCGTTGTGTCATTGACAACAGTCGGGTTTGGGAAACCACTGGATGTTTTATTCCTGAAGTTCAGGCACGAGAAAATTTTTTTAGTTCGTGCCTTGGCATTTTGAGCCAGATGCGCTTCGAACTTCATCCTTGATTGGCGGATTTCTGCAATAGCTTTGTTCTTAACAGTGTTGTATAATTTCCTGGTCTCATGAGCCCCAAGTGTGACAGACAGGTTCCAGCACTTGTGTTTAAGTCTGAGTAACTTATGAATCTCTCGGTTTATCCAAGGGGGCAATGTTTCCGACTCTTTGGGACAAACCAAAGAATGAAAGGTTCAGTTACTTGGGCGGAAAGTTGTTTAAATTGGTTCCATGAGGCTTCTGCTTGCGACTCAGGGTTGATATACCGGTTCACTTAGTTGGCTGCTGAGATGATCACATTTATATCAGCTTTTCAAACGTTTGGTCCAGCTGAGGTTTTGGCCCATGATGCTGCTTCTGAGAACTTAAAGGGAGTACAGAGTGATCACTTCTTCTTAAAGGAGGATGTTTTATGAGATCCACATCCTCACCATGGAAGAACACTAGGTCCAGAGTTGAAGTGGAGTGCTGTGAGTCATAGCGCGTGGGCTTAATGAGATTTTGGACTAGGGCTGGCGATATACTAGATTCCAGCAGTTTATGATCAAAGGAGTTGTCTGAAGATGGAGTTGTGAGACTTATCCAGTCAACTGTTGGGGCGTTGAAGTCGCCGCCTACGAGACTTTGACATTTCGATGTCCAGGAGCCTAGCTTCTCTATTAGGAAGTCATCTGGACTGCAATCAGGACTGCGGTATGTAATGATGAGGTCAATATCTTGGCCTATGCACTTAAGTCTGTAGCGTAGAAGTTCGCATGATTCAATTTCGTGAGCAAGTGCCTCGATGCTACGCACGGTTGGGCATTTCTTGAGATAGCTGACTACGCCACTTCCTTTGAGGCTTAGTTGGTTCACTTTATGTACTTCGAAGTTTGGCACGTTAACTTCGTTATCAGTGACGTCGGGTGCTAACCAAGCCTCTGTGATGATAATTACATCCGGGTCTCCGGAGTCTATCATATTATCCAGCTCAGTCCGTTTGTTCAACAGGCTGCGGGCGTTTGTGTAGCAAACTGCTAATTCACTTTGGTGCTTCTGTGGCCTACCCACAGGGGTTTCGGCATCATAAAAATGCGAACTCTGACAACCGGAAAACCCTTAATCTTAAGGTTCTTTTCGCCGTTTTGGCGTCGTCCGCTTAATCCTAGGGCCGCAAACTGTCCTTTGCACGGCCCGCTAGGCATAAATCGGCACGGGTCCTCTAAGAGTTTGGTATTTGCTTAGAATAGTATCTCCCTCTTCTTTGGAATTTAGTACGTCTTTGAGAAGGCATACTGGCTGATCTACTGCAGAGTCAAGCTTTTGGCCAATTCCATATAAGCTGTGTATGGTTATGCCTGATACTGTTTTTGGTAGTAGCTTTTCTAAAAGGGCTTGACCAAGTTAAGATCATGCTTGAACCTAACCTCGGGATCGTAGACCGGCAATTCTTCCACTTTGTGGAGGATGAGCGACCTGTCTGAGAAATCAGGTTCGCTTGCAATGGCTTTCTTGCTCTGCGGCGCAAATGTCTTTCGATCTTCATGGACAGTATGGCCAATACGTTGTCGTTATCTCGCTTTTTTTCGAGAGACTACACTGCGGCACTCATCGGTGTCGTCCTCGCTAATCATAGTCGATTTTATCTGCCTGCTATTCACTTGCTTGGATGAGGCTTGATCTACAAGTCCCTGGGTGACTTGAGCTGCGGGTGTTTGACCCTTGTTATGCCTCCTCTTCGTGCCAGTATTTCCATTACTGTCACTGGAGGGCTTGTCTGGCATCGTAGGGGCAGCATGGGTGTCTGGAATATGGTGGGTGTTCTTCTGTGCTGAAGGGTACTCACTCCCTAACAGGAATGCATCAGGAACGTGAGTTATTTTGTCGATGATGCCGGTCACATCATCGGTGCCCGAGCAGTAGTCGCTCTTCACCTGTGGAGGGCCCTTGAAGTCCAGAAGCTCTAGAGCCCCTGTGATAGTGGCGATGGCTTCCGGTATACGAAACTTGTTCGTACTACAGCAGTCACTGCACAGCCAGTTCGCCAGAGGTTTGCAGGAGCTCTTGTATGCTGCAGAAGTTAGGTTTGTGCACGTGCCGTGAAACCATTTCTTGCATTCCCTCTTCAACCGGAAGTTGATACATAACTCTTCCACAGAAGTTTCTTTTGATAAGAATGCTTTTCACAGCGAATGGGGGCAAAAGATTCAAGTATGACTATATATGACCTTTATAAATCAAAGAAAAAACCCAATGAGTACACAAAAATGAATATGCATAACCATTAAGTTATAAGAATTAGGTAGGCTCAAAACTGAAACATAAACCAACTTCGATCAGAATAAAGTGATTTAAAGTTAATCTGTAGACTTTTAGAGCGTATAACACGACAAAAACCAAAATTAAACAAGAGCGTGTAAAATTCACTCCTTCTTCAAAGTTCGTGCAATGATGCAACATAAACTCATGGTAGTTAGTTGCAAGCCACAGCTCTTAATATAACCATGCTGGAATTCCACGTGTACAGCACTCTGGTATACTTATAAATTAGGCTTGCTATTCTTGTAATTTTCATTCAGAAGACGCCCATGAGCTTGGAATATCAGAAAGTAATCAGTTATACCTTAATATTAACTGATGACGTTTTGAGCACAAATTATTGCCGCTCATAATCACATCAAGTCACCCACACAATTTTCTCGCTTCATTTATATACATGAGTGAAAGTGATTAGAAACTTGAATAAAAACCATTATAGGATAATGTACATTCAAAAATAATATTAGTGTTATCCATCAAATACAATCAGATGGGAAATAAGACGTTTTCATAATAAAAGTAAGTAACTTGTTAGAATGTTACAATGTACGTGAAGTGAAATAGAATTTTAAGATTATTTATTATCCTCCTCTGCTTTGACTGGTGGTAGTAATATCTTCCATATCTCTGGTGTTTGCAATGAGTCATTTCTGTTGCATGCGTTGGGTGTAGACTCAATGAAGCAGGATTCAGTAATCAATCTCTCTCTCCACCTACCTATATTACATCTTGTAATTTTAACCCTCTCCCATCCCATTATGTGGTTGTGTGTTAATCCATGTAGTGCGATTG